TGTGGGTTAAGGGGACTTGATGCCGGTTCGCGGTTTTCGCGGTTGCCGCGCTTAGGATGTTTGTTGTTTTGCTTTTATTTATTTTTTTTCGTTGCCTTGCTTTTTTTTCTACACAGAAAAAAAAATGTTATATATATCACAAACTTTAAAGTAATATTTTCCTGATTTTAATTACTTTATTTTTATACAAGGATTATTGGTCTTTGGACACACATAAATATGTATAATAAAACTAATGTTTTAATATCGACTTATACCCTTTTGTATATATGTATAAGATCATATAAATGGTGTTAATATTTTAGTACCAATATAATTGAGATCATCAGAATTCGCAGTAGATCGGTAAAATAATATGAAAATGTGTCATGGTTTTGTGATGTGAAATATCACAAAGAAGGGAACAGGTTTTGATTTATTTTTGGCGCTGTGCATTTTCTAGTTTCGCTTGTTTTATCATCCGTTTTTGCGGCTGCTCTAGGTGCCAGTACCGTTGCTCTGCCGGCGTCGAGTGCATTGCACTTTTAAGTGTTTTCGGGTTGGGAAATCGGAGGGCGGGCGGTCGGGTGGACGGTCCGTGTGGAAAGCGGGAAAAGACGCCAGAGAAAACCCCATGTGGCACAGTTGCACACAGACTAAAAAACAAAGACAGCCAGACAGACAGACAGACAGGAGTGGCGACTGCAATTTGCATTAGCCTTTCGCTATGTTTTAGTTCTTGTGCAGTCACCTCCAACTTCTTTTTTTGCCATTTTCCGTTTTCCATGCCCAATGGGGCTACTCGGGCCCTCTTGTCATTTGGGTTAAATGTGTGCAATCATAGAAAAAGGGGCATGGCTTTTTGGTTTTTTAAACTGCGAAAAATGAATAGTAAATAAAATGATAAGACGATCCCTGAAAGAAAATTTCATTAATTTGTATTTCTATGAACATTAATTAAATAGTTCCATTTCAAAATATCAAACGATCACTAAATACTTTAATTTTCCTGTATTTGTAATACGTAAATTAAATTATCGAACGATAACAGATTATTGAACTCTTTGCCAATCATCGTCAGCCTTTTAAGTGATCAATCAACAAACTGCATTTAAAAAAAAACAACGCAATAAAATGGGTTTATCTTTATTTATTGATGTTTACCAGATCTCGAATCGATCGAGTTTCGTTTTCCGCATATCCCAGCAATCCTTTATCGGCATTTACTTGATCAAAGTTGTCATTTCATTTGTTTTACCATAAACAAATAACAAATAAAGCTTTGTCGGGGCAGGGAGCTTTTTTTCTCAGAGTTAAATTGGTGACTCAAAGTCAATTCAAGCTTATATCTTTCCCGATGTGTTTTTTCAGGTATGTCGGTATTATCGGACACACCCAGTGAGAAAAAAGATGTATGACAAGCTTTGCGTTTGTTTGAGCCTCTCTTTTCTCCTCTTTCTTGTTTTATTTGTATTTATTATTCAGTTTTGGTGGGAAATTGAGTTGTACAATTGATGTTGCCAAGTTAGTAATTTTCTGAATAATATCTACGGGGCGTGGTTAACTGTTAGTGCATATTAAAACACTACACTCTCAATTGGACTTAAAAAAAAATAAACATTATATTAAACATTACTATTAAAATTCAAAATTAAATTTTCTCACTTTAGAAGATAACTATTCAGTTAATGTAATAATAATAATCATTTTCCAAAATTAATTGCAACTTAACTCATTTAAATGATAATCTTGGATGAGAAACCATTTTTAAATCAAGAATTACACACTTTAAAGTGAGTCTTCCCACTTCGGATCACCGATTTCTCATGTTGCATATTTTCTTCCTTGACCTTGGGGAATTTAAAAAAAATCCATTAGTCTAATTAATAACTTTTAGAGACTATCTTTTGTTTGTAAATTTGTTTCTTCACCTTTTTCTAAGATTTTCTTACTTTTAGTTGTGGCCTAAAACTTCCGTTTAGTGCGTTAGTTGGTCCGCTTTAAATGTGGTTTAATTGTGGGGATGGAGGGGAAAAGTTGGTTAGTCGAGCTCCTGTTTCATAAATTGCATTATGTTGCCGGCGAGTGGAGTGAAGTTGCCACCGCCAGAGGAGCATTGAACTTCTCGTCTGTGGTCCGGAAACCTGACAGCAACTCCCAGTGGAAAATGAGCCCCCGTTTTTCCGCCAGCCTTCTGGTTAAAAGTTTTGCGTCAGCTTTGCTGACTTCCTTTAAATTTCTCGCTCACGCTTTTCCATCCAGGAGAGGTGGAGTTTGTTTGATTGATTGATTGTGCAAAAGTTTATACTTTTTAGTGGGTTAAAAAGCGGTTTAATTAACTGATAAAGTTGGTTATTTATATATGCTTATTTTTTTTTTTTGTAAAAAGTTAGTTGACAACGTTTACCAATACTTATTTGCCTTATAAAGTTTTGACGGTTTACATACATACTTTGTGTAGTGGATCAATATTAAAAGATATTGGCCTTGGAAGTTGGCCTCTTTAGGTCATTTGATAATCAAAAAATGTTATTCCAAATATTTAATATAAATTAAAAAAATTGAAACAAATATCTACATATTTACTTGAACCAAATGTGCCAAGTATCATTTAAAGTTTCCAATAAATAACTGCACTACCATTTGATGCTACATAAATTAACCTTTTGCTATGGTTTTAATAAGTATTTTAATGTCTGAACTTATAGATAAAAGAGATAACGTTTGGTCAGCCGGACAGTCTATAATTCATTCATTCACGCATTCATTCCATTTCCCATGCTGACCACACAAAAAAAAATTAAAAAAAAGAAACAAAGAAGAAGCGGAATTCATTTCATTCACATTGATTGGGGTGGCTTTGGATTTTTGGATCACATCCACGTCAGGGGTTAACAGCGTGTGTATCCGTATCTTGCAACTTTGTAGATACTTTGGCTTGGCTGCATTGGTGTTTGGTCGCGTGTCAAATAACTGTGCTTGCAGCTGTTTTCCGAGGGGTGGAAAATACACATATATGTATGTGGATGGATTTGTGATACGGAGTGCCCGATTCATTGTCCTTTTTCTGGGTTCACGTTTTTCTGTTTGCCCGCTACCTAAACAGCAATTTTGCACTTATTTACTTTCGGTTCTGCCTCCGGAGAATTTCCACTTTCCACTCTTAATTGCCCACCGAAAGTCAACAGTTCTTAAATGAGAAACGAGAAATGCTGGTAGCACTCCCCCCCTTAAATTAACAAAATTTATTGGCATTTAATGCGCTGGCATGAGGGCGAGAAAACTTCTTCTACGTCTGCACTAGGCCCCAATAAAAAATGAATTTTCCACAGCCAGCAAAATTAGTCACCACAAGCAAAGTTAAATTAATCAAACGGGGGGAGAAGGCAGTTCGTGGTGTGTGCTTATTAATTTGCTCTGATTAAAGGCCCGAAATGACCCCACAAGAGTCATTCAATGGCTCACTTTTCCCCACTCTGATGAGCCAATGGAAATAAAAGCGGAAGAGCGAGAGAAAGAGCTTTCTAAGCCGCCTAATGAATCGGTCCTCCGGAAAATGACTAAGCTGTGAAAATGAAAGGAGAACTGGATGGAGGCAAATGGGGGACTTGTTTGGCACTGCATTGCAGTGGAATCAAAGGGCCAAGGCCACTAAAAATTCAAGCGAACAAGGCAAACAGCACTTTAAACTACAGAAAAAACTTTTGACAAAACCTCTGCTTGTAATTTTAGGAATTTAAACTGGATGTCAAGTGATTACAAACAAATTTATCAGAAATAAAATGTATTTTACAAATAAATTAAATTACGAATATTATAAAAACAGTCTGCTTTTGAATTAGGTATTTAAAAAATTTTAATAAAATTGAGCAACACAATCAGCCTAACTCACAAAATATATTTAAAAACCAACAGATGTTGAGAGTTCTTCTTGCATGATCATTCACATTCTACGGTTATCAAATGCAACTCAGCATTATCCTTTATAGTCGCCATATGTTGCATACCAAAACTAAAATATATGTCTGGATCCATTCCCACCCTTGGATGCATTTCACTGTCGGAGACTTTACCAAATTAATTAATTAGCATAAATTATCAATTAAAATGCGCTCAGTCAGCGATTCGAGTCAGCCGCCGACAGCGATAGGGGAAGTAATTTCAGGTTTGGCTTTCAGGATCGCTGCAACCACCCCGACCTTTAGATAGAGGTACGTGTACACATATATGTATTTATGGTGGTGCCTCCGGGTGTCAGCTGGCACCTATATCAGCCGTTCATCCCCCGATGCATTTTAGCACTATTAATCAACTTCCTTTTGAGCCCTCCAACCCCAAAAACTGACTCGTGCTGGATTTTATCTTCTCCTCAACATTTTTGTTTAAACTCATTTTTTAAGGGGTTTCGCAACAAGAAAATGATCTCCATTTTCTATTTATTGTTTTCCGAAATTATTAATATAATCGGAGATATATGCTTTGGATGTTTCGGTCTTTTAGGTCATTTAGCTGATGCACCTTAGCTAAATCGAATTTTTGTACACTCTATCTCAAAAAAAGATATGACACGATTGGGTTTAAATAAACATTATTGGGATGACAATATATATATATATATATATTGATGAAACAAAGGCTTTAATGTTTTTTGTTTAACTTTAACTTATTTTGAAAATTAAAAAAACGTGACAAGTGAACTCAAAAATCGAGTTTTTCCAAAGCCTCTTCAAAAAATTCCAAATTTTTCGGGGCTGCTTATTTTTGGTTGGTCATTCTAAAAATAGTCCCAGTTCGAGACTTTTTAAAATGTTCAAATGAGAATTTGGTCAAAATAGCATTAATGTCTTAAATATGTAAAAAAAACGACAACTTGATATATATATCGTTTGTTTATTTATTTTCATTCATTAAAGTTATGCAAGTTGTACTTTATTTATTAAATAAAAGCTTAAGCTAGCAAAAAAAATATATAATTTTGCAAATTGTGATAACACTTAAAATATATTTTTAGGTAGATAAGATTGCTTCTTGCTATTTTATTTTGAAAATTTTTAAATGACTAAACTTTAAAGATTTAAAGATTTAGAAAGCAAAATAGTATGAAACAATTAGTTTTTTGTTTTTTTTGTTAAGCTTTTTAAGTGTTATTAATTGATATAAGTATACGTTTATTAATACAGTTTTTTTCTTTGTGTTTAAAGCACTCAAATCTGCAGGGCCTAAACCTACAATAGGTTTCTTATTTTTTGCTTAGATCTCTACTACATAGCGACTGCTGCCCGAGGGACTTATGGAGTAGTAGCTGTTCTCTAAAAAAAAGAAAGTAAAACATACAATATCATTAGATTTGACTGATTAACTTATACAATATGCAATTTTCTAAGGAGTTCAAATAAGTAAATATATGAGTTTTAAAATAATAAGTACGATTGATAGGAATTTTAAAAAGTTTTTTTTTTGGATGTTTTTATTAAAGATTTTTTTTAATTTATTTTTTTTCAACTATTTATTTTTTTTTAACTATTTAGTTTAATCCTTTTTCTTTGTATGGTTATTTGACTGTATTTTGATGCATGCAAACTTACCTTCGTCGCTATCGAAGCTATAGAAATTGTCATCATCGCGGGTCATTGATCGTCGGCTGCGTCGTTGCTGTTGCAGGACTTGACTGGGATTCTGGTTGAGATTGGAACTGAGATTTGAAATGGGATTGGAGTTGGAGTTGAAATTGAGGTTCGTCGGCGTGGAACTGCGTCGGCTGCTGGGAAACGATAGTGGTGAACCGTACTCCGATCTGCTGCAATTGGAGTTCTGGCGATCCAGAGCCAGTTCCGTGGATTTCTTTTTTCTACTTTTGGCGATCTCGTCCAGCTCGTCGTCGAGTTGCTTTTCACTATTGTTGTTGTCGTTGTTGTTGTTGTTGTTGTTGTTGTTGTTGTTGTTGTTGTTGTTGAGAGTTATTTGGGGTATTACCACAGCCCGATTTGTGGGTGTCACCGAGTCCATGGCTCGTCTTTCGGTTATTTGAAGCTCCAAGATTTGCTCCATCTCCGGCTCCACCTCGTCGTCGTCGTCATCTGTTCGCGTACTTCGATCGTACTCCTCGCTGTGCATCCGCCGGGGACAAAGTCGTGGTCTTCCGCCCTCGAAACGGGATATCAGCTTATTGACCTTGCCAACATCCCCGGGTCGCACCTGCTCGTTGTAGGTGAGTCGCAGGGAACTGGTTTTCACCAGAGGCTTGGCCGGTCGCGACATGGAGGCGCTTCTTGGGGGCACTGCCCTGCTGATGACAGCGGGCGGAGCGGGTACAAATGTTTCCGGCGGTTTGGTCACAGGCAGCGGCGGAGGAACTGCATCGTAAATGGGAGGCGTGGCGGGGCGCTTGGGAGGCGGACGCCGCTGTGGGAGTGGCGGCGGCGGTGGCGACTCCGATGGCGGTCGTTCCGAGGCATCTCGATCCGAATCTTGGTCCTCCCCATTCTCCGACCCATCCTCCTCCTCATCCTCATCCTCTTCAGGCAGATCTACCTCCTCTTCGTCCTCCTCCTCCTGTGCCATCAGGCTCTCCCTACTGTTCCCGATCTGTGGACTCTGCACCCGTATCCTTGTGATCCGGGAACTGCTGTCGTCGGCCTCCTCGCCACTGGTATCGATGCTACTCCCGGCACTTATCCTCAAAACTGGGGCATTTCGCAGGGCCTCATCGAAGTCGGCAAATGCTGCAGAGCCTCCCGCGGCCGCAGCCTCGAATATATCGATGCTCTTGGGCTTGTACAATGTAGGAGCTGGCCAGGATGTTGCCTGCTCCTTGAAGCCGGCAATGATCTGTTCGTTGGGCAACCAAACGTTGGCCTCAGATGGCGAAACTTTAATGCCAGCTGCTGGGGTTTGGCCAGGTGACGGGGAAGCTGAAATTGTGATCTCTGGATAGGGTGATCCTTTGATTCCAGTAGCAGTTGGTGAACTTCTGATGCCCGGAGAAAGCGAGCTTCGCTTCGAGGCCACCGCTATGATCAGCGTGGATTCGTAGGCATCGGAGTGCTCCTGGTGGATGAGCACCCTCGGATAGTCCTCGTCGGCCATCTCCTCCAGCGATTCGCTGCTCCACGCGGCCGCTCCGCTCTTCGACGCCGCTTGAATCTCAGCCAGCTTTGCCATCTGGCGAGCAGCGTGGGCGCTCGCATTTCCCGATACGGATGCGCCCTTATCCGGCTGCATCTGGCCAAAGGCCTCCTCAGCGGATATATCCTCGCCGCTGTCATCGTTCGCCTCGTCGTGCTCAGCCTCGAGGCTATCGCTGCGATGGTAGGTGGCCGCCAGTTCCTCGTCATCATCAATCTCGACCGGCTCGTGACCCACCGTATTGGGTTTCGGCTGTTTCGACGTTTCCGGGTTTTGGCTGGCGTGGCGCTGAAAAAACTTCAGCTGATGCACCTTCTCGTTGAGCTTGGCCAGGGTCTTCTCCAGTTGGGAGCCCAGCAGCAGGCCGCCCAGAACACCAGACGCCGCCGTGGGTTCTGCACTCGATTCGCCCTCCTTATGCTCCTTGGTGCCCTTGAAGCTCTTACGCCAACGCTGTTGTAGTTGTTCGGTGGACGCAAAACGACTAAGACGAGCTCTTAGATTCATGACCGAGCCCTTGCCAAGGGGATCTTTGGGCTTATTGCCCTCGGCCACGCCCTCGGGCTCCTCCTCCTCCTCCGAATCGGGTGTTGCCTTAGGCTTGATCTTGGCTGGCCTTTTGATGGACTTCCTAAGCCTCTTGATGTTCTGCCTTATGCCCAACTTGGAGCCGGGATTATTTGCCTCAGCGTTCTCGCCGCTTTTAGACGCCTCCTCCTTGCCCCTGGACAGTTGTGCCAGATTGGGCAGACTCGGTAGATGGGGCAATTTGTTGAGCAATTGCTTATAGCTACTGGGACGTCCGCGTGGAGGAGGTTGGTCCTCCTCGCCCGCCTGTTGCCCCTCCATTTCCAAGGGCGGCTTCCTGACCTTGGCGAACCTGGTGGCGGCTATGCCTGGCTTTCGACGACTGGGCAGTGGCGGTGTGGCCTCCATGCCGCTCTCGTCGGTTTCGTGGCAGATCTTGCCCTTCTCGAACTGTTCGTGCTCCAGCTCGTCGTCGTCCTCGAAGGTGTTTTGTCGAGTGCCCGCCAGAGTCTTGATCTTGATGTCATAGTTCTCGGCTATTTCGCGATCCCTGCGTTCGCGGGCCAATTTCTCCGATTTCAGTTCCCGCTCGTACTGCTCCACATAGCGATCCACCTCGATGTTGTCCCTTCGCACCGTCGTCTGTTTGGCGAAGATGTGCTTAAGCCTCAGTTCGCTGAGACTCTTGTAGCCCCTCTGCAATCGTTGGCTCAATGTGGGTCGGGAATTCCCAGACGCTGCAGTGTCTGCCCCGCCAGCTGGTATTTTAATGGGACTGATGGGTCGCGAGGCTCTTTCTCCGCTCCCAGGCGCATAGTAGTCGTCATCGAGACTGCCAGCACTTCGATACGTTCCCGGCTGCGATCTGCCCAGATTGGCCCGAATCTCATCCTGTTCACCCTCGTATATCAGCGAACTGATGGTGGAGATCCTCTGGGGTGTCCGGTTGATGAACTGCTGGGACTGCGGTGCCAACTGGAGCTGAGATTGCTGCGGCTGTGCTCCATCTTTCGAGAGTCCTGCCGCTGTTCCGCCGCTTCCATCTGCTCCTCTCTTGGAGCTGCGAAATATCTTTCGACCACGTAACTTGGGCAGCGATTTGGGCAACTTTAGTTGTGGCAATTTGGCTGTGGGAAAAATTTTACAATTTTAGTAAGTCATTAAAGGTTAATTAAAGTACTTAAAATCTGTTTTTTTTTACCAAAAAAAAAAAAAAAAAACAAAACTTTAAGACAGAACTTATTTCAGTTTATTTAGATCGCAGTGAGATACTCCTACTTTTATTTGAGGTTTTAAACACTAACAATAACGTGTCTTTAAAAATTAATAATAAAAACGGAAAATTTGGTAAAAAAAAATCTATTTGGCTAATTAAAATGTATATTTAAAAATTTAGTAAACCATATCGAAAATAAAGTATTCCCAAAATTCTGGCGAACTTACCTCTTAAACTGTCTACATCGATGCGCTGGCATAGATTACGAAAATCCATAGTAGAGCCAATGCGATCCGTATTTCTATTGGGATTTTGCTCCGAATCGGAGTTACGTCGCTCCAGCTCCGATTCCGATTGCACTTGATGGATATGATGATGGTAGTGATGAAACTGATGCTGCTGCTGGTGGCTCATCGCTCCTCAGCCAAGATATATATATATATATCCACTTGATCAGTAATGCGTTTGGGGTCCGAAACCGAAAGCTATAAACTTGGAACGTCCGCTGCAGTTCAGCATTTTAGCCAGTTTGAGGAGGCTCCGGCGGAGAATAATGCAGAAGAACACGAACTACGGCTGCGGCACTGGCACCTGTCAATGGAAAATCGCTAATTCAATTAGCACCCGGGGGCTTTTCCAACCCTTTGTTTTGGTACAAGTACGGGGTATTTCTCGGGCATCTCTCTATATAAGTTTGGCATGCGTTTTAAAGTAAAGTTCAAATACAATGTTTCATCATCATTCAACATACTTTAAAGTCGAAAATATCATTTTTTTGAAAGCTTAATAGCGGTTTCTTGCTTATATAAAACGACTAAAGATTCGAGCACCTTTTGGTCGTTATAAAAGTATTGGTTCTTACTAAAAGGTATTTCATATAATAGCACCATTTGCCATATGGTTTTTACTTGTTTTTCCATCTTTCTCAGCACTGTTTTTCTGCTTCCTCTGCCAACTGCTAACTGCCCTGGCACATTTTCTAACCAGGTCTATGACGTTACCTCTGGTACACCCCCCATTTCCATATACACTTATGTGTATATATATTGATTCGTAGCATGTTCTGCGTCTGGTTTTAGATTTCCGTTGCATTTCGTTCACCCATTGTATCAGTTCTCTTGGCCACTTCCTCCGCGTTTGTTTTCACTGTCCCAAGGCAAATATCGTCGCAAAAGTAATAAATTTACAATCATCGATTCTCGACTTCTCTAACTTTGTTATTCTTTTGTTTTTGTCTGTTTTTTTTGTATTCTAGTTTTTGGCTTTGCCTTTTGTGTGGTTAATGATTCGAAATGAAAAAAACATTCGATATCGAATTTGTGGGGGTCTTGTTGGTCAAGGCGAAAAGGTGGGTTTTTTGTGGTTTTTAATTTGCCTAAGCAGGTGGAAAATTGTGCATTACGGGGTCTTATCTTTGTTAAAAATACCTTTTCTTTAAAAGTGGATCAAAATGTGTGTTTTGATTAAATGTTTTTGGACTAATTCATATTTAGTTTTATATATGTACATGGCCAAAGTGTAATCTTTATTTTATTCGATTAGAACATTTTGATTTAAAAATTTCATCAGCAAGGAATTTATAATTAAAGAGTATAGAAAATGTTTAAAAATATTGGGAACTTTGAAATTGTCGGTTATATATAATTGTTTTACAAGTATTAAGCTATAAATAAATTGCCCGGAAATAAAGCCAATTTTGTATTTGATGGTAAACATATTGCTAAATAGATCAAACAAAATGAAGATATAATAATCTATAGTATCTGAAGAAGCATTTTAAAACATATTAATGCAATGTATTGTATTTACCTACGTAATTCCCCTGGAAAAAGAAGCGCTTTTGATGAGACATCTGGTAGTCATTAAGTCAACACTTTTCTCGTTGAAATCATGTTAAATAATCGCATTACTCATGGCTCTTTTTCTTTTCCCATTTTCTTTGCAGACAAGAGACGTGCTAAAGTTTTCCCCGCCACCCAACCGCCCACATACTATTGCCAGTTCACTCGCACTCGCACTCGTCGCGTCGCGATTTTCACAATTTTTGCAATTGAAAAGTGTAAAGTTCTAGACGCCATTATCATCGTTGTCATAATCTCATTTGCAGTGCAACAGCAGAAAGTAATAAAAGCTCGGCTCGCATGCAATTTTCATTAGTGGGAAAATTGTTTGATATTTAAGAGACACCCGAGGAATAAACCGAATCAACGGCAGACACATTCCAAAATAAATTAATAATAGAAAAAGAAAAGTAAAAACAAAAACAAAAACAAAAACGAAACAACACTCGAGGGGGCGAGCGGAGAGCCAAACGACGAAAATGTGGCGGCAGTCAACGATGCTGGCCGCGTTATTAGTGGCCCTGTTAGCGGGCAGTGTAGAATGCAAAGGTAAGTATATAAGAAATAAATTAAGCTAAAAATGGAAGTTTAATCCGTAAATGTTGCCCAATAATTTTGTTCATACTAAAAGGAACACTATGACATTCTTATAACTCACTTGGGCTTTATTTATAGAATTTTAAGAAACTCATTTAAACCGATCATAGATCACCTGATGTGTGTTCCTTAAAGTGTATACCCCACAGTCCTGTGCTTAAAATTAGTAAACAATTTTTAAAAGTGCTAAAAATACTCAGGGCTTTTGAAGGGGAGTCCACAATTTATGCGATCAATTAGTTTGCTGGAACCCAATGCTCATCGATCTTTCCCCTTGTCTTCATTTTCTTCCGTATTATCTTTAGGTAACACCCCACCAAGAATCACAAAACAACCGACACCCGGGGAATTGCTCTTCAAAGTAGCGCAACAAAACAAGGAGAGTGACAATCCATTCATTATCGAATGCGAAGCTGATGGACAGCCCGAACCAGAGTAAGTTAACGATCAGGAATATATATACATATATTTAAGGGTTTCGAAGAACCAAACTAAAATTATGGAAATAGATCGTACGGCTAATTAGAATAGATCTTTTTTATATCTCTTCGGTGCCTATATATTTATGTAGTTCTGCCCTCTATTTTAAATCACATAACTCAAATTTAAGCAGTCGCGTCTACAAAGAATCATATACCATACCAAAATTCGTTTAAAAAATCAGATTTTGTTGTTTGTTTATTTCAGCCTTGTTGTTATAGACATGTTGTTTTTTTACGAAATATTTCGTCACAAGTATTTTTAATTCACTAGAGAACAGCGGAAAGCTTATTTTAAAGGAACTTGATGTATCAAGTTTACCCTAAAAAATAGTTAAAACAGCAAAATTCAATTTCATTATTAATAATGAAAGTTTTCATAGCTATTAATTTCCCAAGATATTAACTAATTTTAAACTAAAACATTTACTTTCTTTTGAAATTATTTATTAGAAACTTTAAAAATGGTATATTAATAAACACGCATAATACCTAGAAATAAAAAAAAAACTTTTTTTAAACTTCACTGTTTTTTTAGGGTATTAATATTCAAATTATTAAATTGTTGTCGAGCTATTTTTGTCGGCGAATCCTCCGAAAATATATTTCTAAATGTGTTCAAAAGTTTGATTTGGCGTCCTCTCCCATTATAATTCTGTGATGATGCAAGTCGTTGAGGAAGTGAGTGTTATTCGTTTCTCTGAGTAACCATAGACTTGGGCCATAAGAGCGATTTGAACCTGTTTCCTAAACACGTTTCGTTTCGGCTGTTTTATTCATAGTTTTTAATCACATTTTTTTTAGTAGAGCGTGTACTTGGGACCCATTGCAGGGGAATTGAGTCATTCGGTTGAAAAATGAGGAATTTGAAGTTAAACATTTGTAGAAGAGGGCAAGCAGCGGCTGTTGATGATGGTATGACCTCATTGCCAAAGAACAGGAGGGGTGTGGACATAAACAGAATAGAACAGCAGCGGCACAATATGCCATCAAAACATTCCAAAGCGTCTGAAAATATTTTTGTGATGGTAAAATATTAAATAAAAATAGTTTTCCCCTTGCTCTTATTCCAACAAGTAAAAATCAAGTGCGTAATGTCTTTATTTATTTGTTTCATATTTGTACTCATAAAAACAAGTGTACCATGTATAAATGAACAAATAAATTAAGAGCAGCTAAATCAGGGTAAAAAAAACAGTGGATTGGGCTGAAAAAGTAAAAGAATTTTAAAAACGTATAAAAACAAGTGAAATTTTTTGGATTCACATACTGAATGCTAGAGTTCATAAAACAATTCAAATTTCTTTGGTGATTAACTCAAAGGGAATGATTTTCAAAAAAAAATAGAATTTTTGAAGAGCTGTTTAAAATCAGATAAATATAATTTTGTTGATATAAGAAGACGTTATGAATCTATATTCCATAATATGTTCTGGATTTTCAAATTAATATTGTTATTTAATATGAAACAATTTTGACTTTCCTAAACATTGGCGACTTTTTTAATGAATGTATACTGTATTCTGATCGAAATTGGCACCAACAACAAGTGCAGGCAGTGCGCGAGCAGCGCAGTAACAGCGCTGCCGACGTCGGCAGAATAGCAACAGATGGCCGAATGCCAGGCACACACAAATACTCACACACACACACACACACACACACATGCAGAACGTGAGAAATGTGCAAGAATAATAAGAAGAAGAAGCAAAAGGAATGAGAAAATTGTGTGTTGTTTATTTTTACACGTACAAAACTAAAATGGGTTAATAGTGGGAAATGTGTGCGCTTTTCTTTCGGCCCTCTCTCCGTATACCCCTCTCACTCTTTCGCACTATCGCACTATCGCACTTTCGCAGCAAGTGGTTCAGGTACAGTGTTAGAAAAATATAAAAAATATCAGAGGCAAAGCGGTAATATCACAAAAACCAGTTTGACCGGATGGTCAAGCACGCTGAGAATTTTAACCAAAACGAAATGGAAACAAATTATAGGAAAAAAGAAATGAACTCAAGCTATGTGCCGGCGAACCATTACGTAATTTTACGAGACAATTTTTAACAAATTTTCCCTGAATTTGTACCGAATTTTTTTAGGGTTTAAGGAATATTTTCTTTGGGCACCATATGGCCTGGCGGCACATCTTACGATTAAAGTAAATATTACAAGAAGTAAATGATAAAAACCATTTTATTGGCCAACGGAAAATTTATGAAACTTCAAAAAAAATTAAAGTGGTCCCATTGCTTTTCAAAATGATTGTTCAACGAAATAATCCGCAAAATTGACCAAATTAAGCCAAAATTATACCATAAGTCTCAATTAAATAAATCGAAAGTCTTTGGACATTTTGTAATTGCAAAATAGTTGCGGACTTGAGAAAGATATATATTACAAAGCAAAACAGTGTGGGTATAAAACGGAAATTACTGGCCAATTTTCGTATTTTATCTTAGGCATGTCATAATGCTAAATTACAGCCATTTTTTCTCTCTCATTTTTAATTCATAACTATTTGGTTATGCTCGTTGGTTTGTGTTGGTTTCAACTGCACAGAGAAAAATATAGCATATAGTCATGCTATTACAACTACAACTTTAAAAATATTGGTAAAGCTGCTTTAAAGTTCGATTTATTGTTATAGCGGTACAAATATAAAAAAACGTTTGTATTTTAGAACATTTTAATTTGTGAATGAAATTATTATACTACTTATTGGTCAAAACATAAATTTAATTAGGATTTTTAATATTTTTTACAAAATATTAGTTCTTGAAAATGTGTAATAAATTGTATAAAGATTTCAAAATGTAATTGTTACTGTCACACTATTTTTTTTTTAGCAATAGTTGCTGTGTATAAAATCTGAAATTAGGCCGTATAAATTATAATCATATTGGACTTTTTTCTGTGCTTGCATTACATCAGTGGCACGCTTAATTTTCTCTTTTTTCCCTATCTGGGTTTTTTTTTGTGTGGTGCATTCTATCTATATATCCACATCTATATCTATCTATACGCCTCTGTGATTCGGCCTGACATACTTTTATTGTTGTCATTGGCCGATGTCTGGTGTCGCTATTTAAACTTTTTCTGTTGCTACTTTGTTGATGATGTTGTCGCTGTGTATATTTTGCTGTTGTTGTTGCTGTTGCTGTTGCTGCTGCAAATGCATAACGCAATGCGTGCACAGTTATTTTTAGATAGCAACGCAAAGCGATTCAATGATTATGATTTAATGATAAACGATTCGGATGATGCTGTTAGGTTTTTTTTTTACCCGTAGCACCCATATTTTGGCCTGGCTTTATAAGGAAAATATTTCACAGTTCGGAAAAATGTATTTATAACTGTTTATAGAATTTTACTGCACATAAAAATGCGTGATTCACATAGTGAAACCAATTTACGGAATTGAGTGTTTCTGCCTTACTTGCCAATGTTTATCTAACTCTTAGAAATTTATTATATATTGTTTTAGCTAATTTAAGACTTTAAGATTGTAAAATGAGTCAGATTCTCGATGTGGCTATTTCAATTGATTGCATTTAATATTAAGTGCAGACACATCTGGTCGTTAGACAGAAACAGAACCAACTGACGCATCGAGAGATGATTAATACGAATGGAAATAAAATCAACAGAGATTAAATAATGAAAAATAAGCAAATTGAAATTAAAAACGTGTTTCCTAATCATTTATCATTCGCTTTGTGATACAAATTTTCCCCTGAGGCAAGTCTACAATTATATCTGCGTATTACTTTCCCTTTTTCATTGTCTTCTTTTCTTTCAAATGGAACTATTTCCATATGGTTTGTGCCTCGCCTTTTCTTTTCATTTAAATTGCAGTCGAGGAGGTTAAGCAGTTCAATTGAACCGGGTTAGAGCTCAGTTATTTAAACCTCTCCATTTTTCTCTACACATTTTGAACATGTGAAATAAAAATAAATGTTTTTCAAGCTGCCCTTGATTTTTAAAGAGTTTGTGGGCTCAGCTTTGAAAAGAAAATGAAAAAAAAACTTACGCTGTTTGATTTTCAAAAGTTGTTTGCTGGAACTTTGATGAAAAACAAGTTTTGTGAGTTTTTGTTTATGTTTATGCATGTGTGGGAGCCATGATAACCATATTAACTTTAAAACCTACAAATACTTGAGTTTTCTTTTGTTTGATACTTTGAAAAATGATACAAAAATCAAGCAAAGCTTTAAGGTTACGCTTATTTTATGCACAGCCCTAATGCTTTTATCTTCGCAAGGAAAATTTTATTAAAATAATTTTATGGACAACACTTCTTTTTTACTTCATAATTGTGAAACAATACCATATATTTTTTTGCCTAGAAGAAGGCAAATAAAAGGTAATCCTTGTGACCCAGAATATTCCGCATACGCAGTGTAGGATGCCAACAGCTGCCAGCTGCTGAAAGATAAATTTATGGAAAAAGGAGTCGAGTTGAAGGCTCATTGATTTTTCACACCACGTTACACAAAGTCCTTCAAAAGCTGTCGCTACTAGTTCATGTCCTTGAATGTTATTTTTCTGCGCTCCAATCCACTTGGAACACCCTCCCTTACATTTTCCATCTCCCCCTCATTAATTTTGTTATTTTAGCTTCATGTTTCCCTAATGATTTTGTCTCGTCAGTTTGGCGCCAACTTTCCTACTGTGCCACCCCCGAAAAAAAAATCAAGGAAAAAGGGGAACAAAATAAAGGAAAAAACTGCAACTGAACAATTCAGTTGTTAAGTAGTCCGATTAAAATCCGGAACTTGCAACCCCAAAGAGATGGAGTCATCAAATGTCAGGAATAAAAGTCCGCAAACACAGTAAATACTTTTTGAGACGAACAATAAGTACAATAATACAAAGATCAATGTTGATGAATAATTGTTTTACCTTTTGAAATAGCTGATGTTAATAAAAAAATACTGTCAATTTAAACAAAAACAAGTA